GTTAAATAAATACTTGCTGATGAAATACAGACATCCTTTATTCTGCCTTTAGGAAATAGGTGAACTCAACTGGCTAAGGACAGTTAATGTATCACTTTTTTTTCCAAACTTTCTTAAAGTAGAAAAAACATCTTTTCCCCGAAAGTATTTAACTAATCACAAGGCTAAAGACTCAGGGCCTTCCTTCAATCATTTAGTGAATAAAATTCTGTCTGGTTTTGTCCAGAGCTAGGTTTAAAGGAGTAGGGGTAGGAGGAGGAGAAGACAACAAAGACACAGTTTGTGACGAAGATGCAGGACATGGGTCTCTGACATGGCGCTTGGGTTTTCTAAGGCCCTAGCTCAAGCTGACAGCCATGGCACTTCTCCTGTGAACACGCTTTTAACTAGGTGACATCTGGTGCCTCTCAATGCAAATACGTTCCTACATGGGAGAATGGTCCTTCTGTGGTGACTGAATGGGCAATGTCTGTCAGATCAATTATGGACGAGACTCATCTTCTCAAAGGTTCCCCTACATTTCTTTTCTCTCCTGAGAATTCACCTTGTACTCAAACTTCTGTCTCTGGGAGTCAGGCCTGCAGACAGTTACCTGCCCCCAGCTGTTTCCCTCCTGAGAGCCTGGTGTAAAGGAACATTTTCCTGACGGGTTTACCTTTCCCTTCTGAAGGGTCTTCTCTGATTTCCAAACTGGACATCTAAACATAGTGCTAGTGGGTAGACCTTCCTATTCCCACTGACATACCGTGAGGACACCGAGACTGTTAGCTGCTGTGACATTTGTGCAGGAGAGCCCATTACCTGTCAATATATTTCTAGTCTGCCTCAACTTGTGCTTTTTTTTCTGAGGTCAATGCTTCTTTGACCACAGGGAACAGGGCTAGATCATAATATATGAAAATCAGGGAGTTTTCTGTAAACAGTGACCAGGGAGCTGCATAGCTTCCTTGAAAGCATGATTGGTAAAACATTTTGAAACCCTCTCTTGGGTGTTGTAGAGATGAGACATGGCATTCTCTTACTGAAGTAAAGTTCTCAGTATCTAACTGGCAGAGCCACAGTATAATAAGATCAGTTGGCAGGGACGCCATATGGGGTACCCAGAAAGCATAGGTCTTGTTCATTTGCGAAAGTGCAAGGTGACAAGAGGTCAGTCTTCTCTCAAAGGATGTGGCGTCTCCTTCTATCTCTGCCCAGACCTGTGGCAGCCAGCAATGTTGTTGCAACCTTGCTCCTCCATGGCCATTCTTAGCAATCGTACATCTTCTCTTGTCCCACCAAAGCACAGCCAGGACTATATTAAAAACACAATTCATGAAAATGCTTAAAGCCCTCTTAGTTCTGTCTGATGACCTGCTGCTGTTCCTTCCAGAGCTCTGACACTTACTGGTTGTGGTGGTCACCTCTTTGCCAAACAAACGCTAAAGCCATGCCGAATTATTGCTGCCTTTGCCGTTTCCTGTTGAGAATGCATTGCAGCCAAGGCTTTGCATACTGGAACCTTTCATTGATGAGAGCAACTCGCTTTATTTTTAGCGCTGTGATTCTCTCCATCAGATGATTTCTATTTATAAACTTGGGGCCTCATCTATTATTTCCTACTGCTCCTACAAGCGTGGTAGTCCTATGTAACAACCTTCCTTGCTCAGCATTGTGTCCCTCTGGCTTAGAAAGGCTGAGTTAAAGCAGGGGCTTAGCAGGTACTCACTAAGGATTGGAAGGACGGGAACAGACTCTCTCTCTCCCTCCCTCCCTTCCTCCTCCCCCCTTTCTTTCTCTGTGTGTGTTGAAGGCACTACGACTTTTGTTACTTTTCCTTTAAGAGGCAGTTGGTTTGAGCTGAGCATCTGGAATCTGATGATAATACATTCAGGGTCCCACGTTATCACATGTGAGCTGGGTAAACCCTTGAAATGTCTAACTTCTAAGCCTCCACTGACTTGTCTCTATAACGGACATAATGACAGAAGGGTCAACTCCTAACTAAGTTGGGTGAGAAAACAGAATGATATAGTATTTGATTGTCACAACCACAGAGTCATTGCTTAAGAAAAACAACTTTGCCAGCTTTTGCAGGGAAGGGTAGATTCACATCAAAGCCTCCAGAGGAAAAATCAGTACAGGCTCACAGATCCTACTTCCAAGAGAAACAACTTTAAAATCTAGGCCTGGGGCTGGTTGACAGTTCTCTTGAGAAGTACCCTTCCTTGAGACGGAGAGGTGATTGTACACACGTTATTGGCCTGAGCCGACAATGAGAAGTAGTCTGTATGGCAAAGCTCAAGCAGGCCCAGTGCCTGCACTCAGTACACTGTCTGGCTTGGACCCTGGCTTTCGGGATGGGTGGTGGGGTTTAAAGAATGGGGAGGAAGAAGCCAAGGAAACAACCTGGCAATCAGTAGAAATTCATTTCTAAGGCTTTGTTAAGTGCGGGCCCAGGGCCGTCTCTTTTAGCTTCCTCTTCCTCGCTTTCCTGTTCGGTTGGCAGGCTCCAGGCTGAGCCCACTCTGTGGCCCCTTGCTGGTGGGTCAGTGTGCTTTATTTCCCCTCTAATGAAAAACATTTGTGTCTAGTAAATCTTTCCTTTGCTCTTATTAAAACACTTGGTGCTGGTTATTGAGGTCTGTTCCAAGCTAGGTGAGAATCAATAAGGTGATCCACTTAATCATTTCAGCAATCAACAAGCTATTCTCTTAGTTTGCACTCTGGCCAAGGCCCATAGAAATCCAAAGGCTTATCAGGTCCTCATAACCCACAGAACCACGAGGAGACCTCCTCTTCATTTTCCTTCTTCCAGTGCCCCTCAGGGAGCCCCAAGTCCTCTGAAAAGCCCTACTGTCTCCTTGGCCTTAGGGCTGTGCTTGGCAAGACGGTGACCAACCCTAGGTTTCTGGAACGTTCTTATTGAAAGGAAAGCATACTTTTTTTTTTCTTGGCCAGGGGCAGTCAATACTTGATTATAAATGCTTTTGTCTCAGCTATTGAGTTTTTGTATATTCTGTGCACCTGCTTGGACAATTACCCAGTCCCTCTAGGTTCAAGGCTCTCCAACATCAAGATTCAAATTCTAACAAGTGCAATTTGTTCAAAACAAGTTGTATATTTTATGAAGAGTTAGAAGAGAGGAGTTAAAATGTTCCCAATAAATGAAATAAAAAAATGTTTGAGGAGATAGAAATGTTATTTTTTTCTGATTTGGTTATTCCATACTATGTATATATTGAGTGATCTCACTGTACCCCAGAAATATATGCACTACCATTATATGTAATAGTATTTATTTCCAAATAGACATATTTATTGTCTAAAATGCAAGAATCAAAAGATACTTAAATTCTGTTTTTGCCAGGAAGCATCCTGTGGCACCTAGGGGTCAGGGGCCCTTGTGCTGGTTTGAACAGAGACACCGTACTTCCACCTTTCCCTGTTTTCCAGCTGAGAGTCCCCTAAGATCTGGGTCTGTGGCTTAATCATCTGCATTATCATGACCACCCTGTTCCCTAGCACACAGAAATGACTCCCATGTACTTACTGAAAGGAAGGGATGGAGAGAAGGAAGGAAGGGAGGGAAAAAGGGAAGGAAAGAGAGAAGAAGAGAGAGAGGAAGGAAGGGAAGGAGAAAGGGAGACTGGAAAGGAGGGAGAGAGGAAAGAAATAAGGGAGAAGGGAAGAAAATAATTATTTCATCTAGTCCTCAATGTCAGTGTGGATTTTATTCCTGACATGGCCTGTAATTTCTGGGCGTCTTTAACCAGTTCTGTCCTCAATTTCCTTTCCTTTCCACAAAGTATTTTAATCCTCTAATTCCTCTTGGCTCACACATTTCATATCTGCATGCCTCTAAGTCCATGGTTCCCAATTCTTTGATATCCAAAGTCAGTATAGGTAAATATATATTTAGAAAGCTCCCATTTTAAACATGAACCAAATGTCCCAGTATTAGAAGTGACTTCATCCAGTTTGTAAAACATGCCTAACTGCAATAATAAGATGAAATAAAAGGAAAATAATCTATGGTCAAATCTTAGGTATTCATTTCACAGAAGTGAGACGAACACCCAGTTAGAAGACACAATGGAGGAATTAGATACTTGTGAACTTGTCCTGGTCACTTTGAACTAGGTCTCAGCTGCAGATGCGTTCTAAAGCAGGTGGTTACATCGGTGTCTCCTATAGTGTGGGGACTGGGGTCACCACTGGCATACTCGTACTGTATGTAAGTTTCATTGTTAAGTTTTGTTGTTTATATAACTGGTTTCATGTTACTGGTTACAATTTTAAAGTAGCCCTATGTAGACTTTCTAGAGCCATAGTGGTCACCTTGCTGGAATGTTCAGGGTGTATAAAACAAGGCAGAATTTAAGCACTGATAATAACAACAGGCATTTCACCTGGGGGACGTTCAAAAGTCCTCTGGGAATCAGGACAGCATGTTGTCTGTAATTCAGCATTATCCTTTTCATTAAGAATCTGGGGGGGCTGGAGAGATGGCTCAGAGGTTAAGAGCACTGCCTGCTCTTCCAGAGGTCCTGAGTTCAATTCCTGGCAACCACATGGTGGCTCACAACCATCTATAATGAGGTCTGGTGCCCAGACATACATGCAGACAGAATATTGTATACAAAAAATATAAATAAATAAATAAATAAATAAATAAATAAATAGAATAAAAACTGCCTTCAGCAGTATTTAAAAAAAAAAGAATCTTGGGAAGCCATACTGTCTACATACCATATATCATCAGGGCATCCAATCATTGAACCAACAGACACCTTCCCACCTAGCACATGTCCGAAATGCTGTCTACAGGATGTTGCCATTTCTGCCAGGAACTAGTATCTCTGTAGTTCAAACTGTTAGAATGCCACATGCAGTCCTTTCCCAAAGGCACCAGCACTGTATCTCCGAGCTCCCCATGCACAGAGGGGTCCTGTCCTTCCAAGCTCTAGTGCTACTGTCTTGAATTTCTTCATTGTTTTTGCATTTTCATTTTACTCCAGATGCTGTGAATTCTGCTGTCAGTCTTGGCTGCGCATTGGGATATATATGCTGTATTCTTAAGCAACTAAGAGATGCCTTTTGCCTAAATGGTAACTGAGTTCTGCACACCAATGCTTTATTTTATGAGCTAGTTTATTACCAACTATTTTGTTTATGGATTGAGCAACTTGTGTATTTGTTAATTGCTTTATTTATATATACTTTATATATTGTTTATACTATACTTATAAATATAGGATATTTATTTTGTACTCTGGACTCGAAAGGTTCTGATTCAAGTTCAGAAAGAGTTCATCACATTTTGCATCCTCTTGTTTTACCATGTATTATTAATATTATTGTGCCAATAATAATAATTGTTAATTCTATATAGAATAACTGACTTAAAATAAGATACACTGCTAGGGTCAGACCCCAGCTAAGACCCTCAGCAACAGTGGAGAGAATTGCTGAACTGGATTTGCCCTGTAGTTAGATTAATGACTTTCTTAAATGTCTTCATAGAACCAACATCCAGCAACTGATGGAAGCAGAGGCAGAGAACCACAGAGGAGTGTTGGCCTGAGCTCCAAAGTCCAGTCGAAGAGAAGGAGAAGTGAGAACAAAGAGGTCAAGACCATGATGGGGACGCTCACTGAAACACCTGACCTGAACTAATAGGAGTCCATCAACTCAGGTCTGACAGTGAGGGAACCAGTACAGGACCAAACTAGGCCCTCTGAATGTGGGTGACAGTTGAATGACTGAGGCAGACTGCAGGGCCACTGGCAGTGAGGCCAGGATTTATTCCTACTGCTTGTTCTGGCTTTTTGAAACACATTCTCTCTGGAGGGATACCTTGCTTAGCCTAGACATAGTGGGAACGGTCTTGGTCTTGTCTGAAAGCAATGTGCTAGACTTTGTTAACTCCCCATGGGACGCCTTATCCTCTCTGAGGAGTGGATGGGGGATAGAATGGGGGATGAGAAGAGGGAGAAGGTGAAGGGAACAGGAGGAGGGGAGGGAGTAAGAAATGAATTTGGCATGTAAAATTAGAAAATCATTTTTTTAAAAAAATAAATTACAAGAAAAAAATATATATTTAAAGAAAAAAGATACACTGCATTTGGCAGTAACAAACACTGTCATAACCCATTAACAAATTGGTGCTTTGCTTCTGGTGTTATTTCAGCATCTCTGAAGAAAGGTGCTTTCGTTTTTCTCTCAGCTATTCATTCAGTTTGTGAAATCCTTGAAGAGATGAGAATTTCCTACCCAAGGTTTCCATCAAGAATGGATCAAACAAAGTTGAAAAACCTGTATCTGTATTGAATGTCTGCAGACTTTTGCCTGGTTATTATTCCTAACACAATATAGACTACCAGATATTTGCACATCATTGGCCATGAAGGTTGTTTCAGTAATTGTAAGTAACTTAGAGATTATTAAAGTGCACAGGGGTGTGTGTGTGTGTAGGTTATATAAAATTCACATCTCTTTACAGAAGGAGCTTGAGTATCTGTGGATCTTGGTATTATGGTAATGGAGTTCTGGACCTATTACTTCTACACATGAAGGGAAACTATTAGGTTTCCTGTGAAAATATACAAAAACAAGTAATTGCATTCAGAAAAATACCTACCTGTTATTTAGGCTGACTCATGAAGGAGTTGTACCAAATTAAGGGAAAGGTGTAAAATTCAGGTAATCACAAATCATGGAAGTTTTGGGGGCTCAGATTGATTTTTAAAATTATCCAGGACTTAGATCTACTTCAGCAAGATTGATAAGATATTAAGATGGAGAATTTTGGATAATTTTGGACAAGAGTGTGTGTCCTAAGCTAAGAGCATTAAAAAAAAACATTCAATCAACCTGTATATGCTAACTGCAAGCAATTTTTACCTGACCATTAAGTCAGGGCAAGATAGTATGCTTTCTAACACTTAATTTAGTTTAATTGTATTATACAGGAACATTTTCTGAAAAGATGTCATTTACTATTTACTACTATTCAGTTCTCACTAATTCAGTAAAATCATAAGCAATAGCCAAACTAAAACCCACAGGGACTAGGTTTTAAAGGACTATAAATGGAATCTGCTGGGATACAGTTAATTGGTTCAGACAGTATTGTGCATGGAAGGGGGACATAAGCCGACTTCAACTGATTGATTTATGGGGAAGCCACAGTGAAATCCAGGCGTGGGGTCATGTCAAGGGTGGACCTCAACCTGCCCTCCCTGGGTAGAGGAAGGGCCATCGCACTGTGAGTCTGGAGCTCTTCACTTTGTGGTAGCTTTATAAACATAGAACTGGAAGACCCAAATTTTCCTACAAACTGCTCGCTATATATGGTTTATACCCAAGGATTTGAAAATTAGTACTTTTTAAAATAACATCAAGAAGATGACAGATTTTATTTGGCCAACTCTTACATGCAAGCTGATTTCAGTGCACATGGGCATGCTTCCCCTTTCCCCTCTATGTGTGTGTGTGTGTGTGTGTGTGTGTGTGTGTGTGTGTGTGTGTGCGTGCACATGCACACATACATTTGTGATATGAGCATGGAGATACTGCACAGGGTAGGTCATTGCATGGCTTTGTGTTGATGTACCTTGCAAGGAGACGGTAGTTTTCCTGCCCATAGTGATAGGAACTCTGGTCCCACAGCTGAAGGTCACAGACAGAAACACAGCTGTTTGGAAACTAGGAGTTCTGTGGGTCAGTTGGAGCATAGAACTCCTATGCTATGATGGAATTTCAGAGTCTGTTGGTACCTTAGCATTTAGGGTTTAGCGTTTAAAGACTGACCTTTGTCTAAGAATGTGTCATCAAAGGCTAAGGCTTTAAAAAGTCGGGGCTTAGAAGCAAGAGATGGGCATTCCTCTGCAGAGAGATGGGGACATCAGTTGTGGGGGCCCCATGAAAGTCAGAGTGTTCCATGTCTTAGTCACAGGATTCTCCTAGATGTGGGGTGCCAGCCACCTGTCTTAGGTTCACTGTGGAGCATTGTAGGGATGCTGAGTCCTTAGCTTCACTTCCTAGGTGTGTACTCAAGTCTGGGATGTGTTGTTTTTGACAACTTTCCTGGGTGATTCTCAGCACTTTCAGAATAAAGGAATAATTATAGGTTTCTCATCTGTTTCCTCTTTAGGAGAGGCACACATCTTGTTCTACAGTGCATCAATAGCACCTAATTTTAGTTCATCAGTTGTAAAAGTCACTCAATAAATAGATTTTGAAATCAATGGATGGATGGATGGATGAGAAAAGCCACACACTAATAACATAGCGCACTAATTGTTATTTACAATTCTTTGTACTTCAGTAGTTGTGGTCTCAGAGTCTCATTTACGCTTCAGAAAAGGGCAAGATACTTTCAATAAAATCTATCAAATCTTCAAAAATAAATTCTGCCATTAAAAGCTGTAAAGTCTTATTGAATATAGGTATCTGGATAGGTGTGTTGCTCCTGATTAATCTACTGCTTCAGGCTCTCAGAAGGGAATGGGGGTTACTAGACATATGTAGAACCTTCTGACCTTCTGAGAATTCTTAATTAAGTTTGTTTCTGTCCTTGCTTCGTATTCCACATTGAGACAGGTATTCCTGGGGAACATGCATGAACTTGTGCTTAAGAGCTAGAGGAACGAGTTCAAAGACAGACACATCATATTGTCATGGTTTGAACATCTTTCAGCTCCCTCCCTGTTTGGGAACGGAGGATTCACTGGAGCTGCAACCTAACTCCGAGCCCGGCTTTCCCAGACAGAGGTTTTCTTCATAAAACCCACTCAGGCCCTTCTTCTCAAGTTCTTCATACACTTTTCACCAGAAAAAAGAAATCATTCATATCTAACAAAGGGCCTTGGATGCCTTAGATAGTTTCCATTGTGAGTTTTTGGCACTGTCATTGCCCTAGCTCAAGTTACCTTCTGATCCTCTTCTCCCATCTGCTAAAAATGCATTATCCCCTTATTAGCTTGAAACCGTTACTGTTTGCTGAGGGCTGGGGAGGAACAATTCTACCCCTGGAATATTCCTGGAGACTGGAGATCCCTGGCTGCTCCACAAACTGATCTTATAGCCTGCTTTCCTGGGAGTGGAATGGAGGCATGCTTTGGGAAAGGGTTCTTATCACAGTGGAAAACATTGCAGAATTCTGACTTGAGAAGGTTGAACACTGCCAGCAAGTGTCTGCAGCCAGAGCCAAATATTTTCTTGGGAGGAGTGATCTCAGGGGTCAACACCACCAGGGGTTCCTAGGCTTGAGGGACACCAGGAGGATAGCCAGAGAGTGAACCTCTGAGTTTGCAGAATCTGCCATGAACATTGCTGAAATTCTATTCTTAATTCATTAGCAAAAATCAAGCTCCATCCCTACTTCTAAATATCTTAGAAATTCTTACCAATTACTTCAGGATGAAAGATGTCCAAGGTTTCTACCTGAGATCTAAATAATGTATGCACATCTATGAATCTAAGTGAGAAAAATTCTTCCTGTTCCATTATACTCTCTACCCTACCATTGGAAATACATCCTTTTGGTATATTTTTGAATGAGCTGGGGTCAGAAGTAAGACATAGGAGGAACACAAAAACCCATGGTTCTGTCTCACTAGAAGTTGCTTGTTTTCACATCACACTGCAGTTGTTGCAGGTGTCCTGGAATATTACTGGCCGCTGTTTGAAATTTGGGCCGTGGTTAGTTTGTCTAATGGAGCTCACTTTCCTGGAAGCAGGAATGAGGATGCAGTTAGAGTCCCATAACACAATACTTAAAACTTCTTGGCAGCTATAGTTGATAATTATATATTTTTGGTAATTAATAAATATTTTCTGAAAACACAATCAGTGTCTCTAGTAGTTCAATGAATGCATGGTCCTGGATGAATTAAAAAATGATCCCAAGGAAAGCCCTATGAATCACCAGATTGTTTAGCAGGTCCATGACACCCCCAGAAATCAGCTTCACACCTGCATTAGGTGATTATAGCTGTTGATTATGGTGTGAAATAAAAATAAGTCTGGGCTTGTAGTCAAAAGTTTTGTGTTTGAGCTTCAGCTTGGCCACATGGCAGCTATAGAGCAAATTATAAGCTCATCGGAGCCTCAGTTTCTCCATTGTCTTAGTGAAATAATCACTACCTCATGAGGCAATTGTTGGGGTTAACAACCAGCAATCCTTTCTCCTGCTCTTCTAACCTTGCTTGTTTATCTTGTATGCATATAAAACGCTCATGGTGCCACTATACTCTGTCCTGCATATGGGCTTAATTGTTCTCCTTCCTTGGTATTATGGCCATTTTTTTTTGGATTTTTTAAATTTTATTTTTATTTATTCAGTTTTTTTTTTCCGAGACAGGGTTTCTCTGTAACTTTGGAGCATGTCCTGGAACTTGCTCTTGTAGACCAGGCTGGCCTCAAACTCATTGCCTCTGCCTCCCCAGTGCTGGGATGTAAAGGCATGTGCCACCACCACTTCCCAGCTAATTATAGCCATTTTCAAGCTTGGAATAGGAAGTTTCATCAGAGAGAAAGCGTTTAGAGTTTGGAAGAACATGTTGCCATTATTGCACTGATTTGCTGTAATCAACTATGTTGCTTTTGTTTTAAAATTCCAGGTACCATGAAACATCCCAGAGTCCTACCCTCTTTATATTGCTTGAGAATTTAATACATGCATATATGATCTTCCTATCCCCTTCCGTATAATTCCTCCCCTATACCCTGTCATCTTTCTCTCACATTCATGTGCTCTGATTTTTTCCCTCCTCCTCCTTCTTCTCCTCTTTCTTTTTTCAAAGCCAAACCCACCCAGTGCTGTCTGTATTTGTATGGGTTTAGGACCATCTACCGGAAACTTCAGAATTTTCATATGAATCTAGAAAGCTTTTGCAAAAAGTTTGGACATGATGTTAATTTTTAAAAGATGGCAAAAGATATACAGGCATGTTCTCTGAGGCCAAGAGGAGGGAACTTGTCTAGCATGGG